ATGAAAGTGTGGACTGTTCAGTCACACGTCTTAGCAGTCTGAGAGTACATCAGTTATCAGTTCTTTTTTTTGGCACATCACATCACATACTTCAAATATATCCCATTGTCCACACCTTCTTTACAAGCGCGCAAGCTGAAGGGGCAATCAGCTTTGAGTGCCGACTAGGCCCCTTGATGTTCAGCAGAAAACATATATATATAATAACAATTGCAAACCAGGGTTTGAAGCCACCTGCCTCAAGACTCCGTCGCTGCGGGGTGATGGCAACGGCAAGGCAATCAGGCCAGGCCAATATTTTGTTTGGGGAATTTGGTCCAATTGAATGAATGATGATCTAGTCATATCTAGTCAACCTATACGCAAGGCTCCTTTTTTGATGGTTATTGTCGGACCACGGCGTGGTCAAGGGTTTTGAGATGACCCGACAGCATAATTTTTGTCTCACAGCTGGAATGTTGCTGAGGTACAGTTGCACATCAAGCATTGATGGCAAACTGGTAGCATTCCATTGGTCTGCGCGGAAGATGCTGGCGATCCACGTGGACTTTTGGCGGATTGAATAGGTCAAAGAGCTCTCTCAAAAGCGGCAACCTTGTTGTTCATATCCTACCCATTGGCAAGTGCTCATGAGAATGCTCATGTGTTTCTTTGTGTTGACTACAGCTAAACCGGTTTAGTTTTGAAGACATTGGTGAAAGGCACGAATGGAGGATGTTCTTCGCGCCAGTTTCTCCCCGAGCTGGTTAGGCCAACGGCGAAGTACCACAAAGCATCCGAAAACTGTTTATCTACTGTACATATGCTTGACATTGAGATACTCGCGTAAAGCTTGCAATAGCTAGTGAATTGTAAAGTTGCAAGACATGATGAACAACGTAAAGAGTTCCTTCGAAAGTTGAATTCAAACTTGCACAAAGAAGACGGGTTTTGGTGTTTATGTTTTTCCGTCAACAGTCTCACCTTTATATTTATGTCATCTGCGGCTAGTTGAAGTGTGATGTTCAGAGTCCCAATTCAGTTGTGTTCGTCCGAGGATGATTTTGCGCCGGTCTCCTGCATGGCGCTGTCGTGCTTGTATGCTGAAATCATGGAGGCAGGTTTTCGAGGCTTCTTGGCGGCCTTGGCGAGTTTTAAAGGACTGTCCTTTTGGCTTGGAGACAGGAGAGACTCTTCTTGCTGAGTATCAAAGCTTGATCAAAGCTATAATTTATGAAAGGGGAAGTTGTGTGGTGGTACTTGGCAGGGTGAACTTAGAACCTGGTGGAGGAGAGCGCAAAAACAGGTGGGCCAAATGCAGTCAAACATGTAATTTTTTTTACGGGCATTGGTGATGCGAGTGATGCCAAAAAGGTTGAATAGTGCATCCTTAGCATCGCAAAGTGGCCATGATACCATTCAAGTGGACAGCAGTGGGTCTTATTGTTCGTCCCCGGCAAAAATGGACGCGGTCGGCCATAAATACATTTTGCAGGTTTTGGAAGACACAGGCACGGTAAAAACACATGAGTGTTTCGACGCGTGTTTTTACACGTGCGTACATATATTGTGCAGAGGGTCTGTGGCCTTTTCACCCCCATCAAAGCTGAAGCCTGGCTTTACAAAAGCAGTGATAAACACTGTTTTTCAGCGCCATATGGCCTGGAAGCCTCGGAGCAGTCTGCACCACAAGCCAGCCACAGATTCTACAAAGCCCGGCCTGTTACCGTAAGAACCCCTAGTGTTACCACATTGCTTGAAGAATTACAAGCGTGAATTGGACAGTCACACGGTGCGATCTCATGAGTGTCAAGACCTCACTGGACCAGGAATTCAGTCCTATAAGTCCGGCTAGCAGTGGCGATCCATCCATCCCGGTGGACCAGTGTTGGACAGTATAGCGGTGTAGCGATGTCCTCCAACCTCCAACCTACTATAATGGCCTCGGACTCCAATCTCAAGCTTCATCATTTGTATTTTCAAGGTGGCCGGATTATCCTGACTTGTTTCATCCTTTTGGTGCACAAACCAGAAACTGCCTATGTCGATCAACGCGTGACTCCTGAGGATAAAAACCTGGTGACATGAGTCGGCAAGGATCGCATCGTAGCAGCCCATGATGCTTGTAGCCATTTCAAACCTAAATGTATTTTCTCACCCACAATAACCTCACTTGGCCGTTGATGCCATGCGCTACCATCAATAGCGACGACTCAAAATGCTGCAGCAAACTGTTGACGAACACCAATTCCATTGTTTTGTGTTCTTTTTGTTGTTCCCAATCTCTACAAGAGCTGGCTTTCGCCCCCTCCACTTGTGTAGGCTGACGTTGCTTGCTTTATATGCTTTTGAGTCAACACAGTTTTTTTCCGCTAAACTCTTTGAATCCTTACCTGAAGAGGATGACAAAGAGGATAATGTATGATTGAGGTGGGAGGTTTGAAGATTATTTTTATAGTGCATTGTAGACGACCACTGGCGACTGCAGATGCTTTCTTTGATCTTGCTGAGGCTACACCTGGGTGTATCGCATGTTTCAACGGATTGGCAATTCCACTCGATTTGCTGAACCTCGAGGGAATTACGTTCGCTTCTTGGATGAAGTGCACTATGTATTTGGCAGCTGTGTTGAGTGGGAAGCAAACGAAGATCACAACCACTTGAGATCAGTCCCGTTATATAATGTTATATAATTGTTCGTGTCTTTGCACTACATTTTCATCCTGGACTTATTACCACTGGACCCGTCCGAACACCTGGGAAATGCCAGAACCAGGTAGGTTGGCAAATCTTGCCAATCGTAAGTCGCTGCAAGGCAATATGCACCCCTGCTTTCCTCGCCGTTTGCCTGATGGGTGGGGTGACTCTGCTGTGGTGGCCTGGCTTCGACCACAGCTCACCTCGTGCGCCTCCAAAAGGTTGGGGCCGGCCTTGGAACTGCAAAGAAGCTGCAAGCCTTTGCCAATATGTTTGAGGCCGATTCGCTTGGTGCAAAAGATTCTGAGGCTTTAGTCTAGGGTCTAGAGCATTGAACGGGGTTTCCCACATATATGCAATAATGCATGTAGCTGCTGGTTTTATTTCTTTATGTGGACAGACTGGCAGACATTGATCACAGTTTGACCTCAATTACATTATAGGGACGGATCATAAGGGACATTGTTAGCAACCCTTTGACCAAGCGCCAGCTTGTGAATCAAGATAAGGCCCCTGGCCGCGATGATGGTCATGTTGACCCTTGAGATGTTCAGTGCAATTCAAAAGGAGTGTGCAACCACCGTTGGCTAGCGACATCGGATCGCATCGGACATACCTTTGAATTGGATCTAAGTAGATCACTGCATTCCCATCCTTGTCACCAGTAACATCCAGTAACTATATAGCATTATACAGTAATACAGCCGTTTTTGTGTTCTATACCAATTACTATAGTACTATAGATTGCTGTTGGATGCTATTGGTGCTCCTTGTTGGCTCCTTGGTGTTGAGGCCACCACCAGATGTGAACTACAGCGCCTTCCTCTCGTGCCTCCCTTGGGCTTCCAAAGATTCTGAGGACTTCTGCAAGGCAAAGCCTGTCGGAAAAGGGCCTCAAGAAGTGTCGGAGCACTGGATGAAGATGAACGCAGGCGAGGCTGGAGGAGACCACTTTCTGCACGTGGCGATGTTGGACTGTTGGGATCCATTGCGGTTGTCCATCGAGATCAGTTTTCCTTCTTTTGGTGTCAGATTCTACTAGGCATGCTTGGCCACGGACTGCCTGACCTTCCTGATGAGACAAATAGCACTTCAGATAGACTTTGCAAACTTGGGCGACGGAATTTGGATGCACTGGCACGGCAGTTCCACTTCCCACGAAGCAGGCAAGGATTTTGGCAAACAGCGAAACAGAACTGCTAAATGACGATGTATGTTTGATGTCGGAGACCAAAGCCCAATTCTGGATGTTTATTCCAAAATCTATGGTTTGTTTCTTTCTTGAAGAGCTTCAACAAGCAGATTGATTCGTTCATTCCCGGATTCGTTAGTTTCTGAGCGAAAGGGAGAGAGATTGCATGAAAGCTCCTTGAATGATTGCTGCCAGTCGTGCCTTCAAGAACATATTGGTTGCTGTGAAGCGCTTTGGCGAACATGAAAATGATTGCCACCATCTTTGCACTGCCATAATCATCGGTGCCGGCACTTTGGCACGCAGCCTGTCGCCTATATCAATGAAATGCAGGTGCGCCAGCTCTACCAAGAATTTAGAGTTGGATACATTTTTCTTGACAATTCAGTTCAGAAATGGGCACTGAATAGGCTTGACATCTGTGTAGGCTCCTTCTTTTCAACTAGCTTGTTTGACGTTCTCCTCAGAACCTTATGAAGGGTTTCACTTCAAACCTTTTCCAACCTGTTCATGCCTTTTCTAAGGTTCAATTTTCTTCGTTCTTGGTCAATGTTGGACTTGCTGGGCGCTGGTTGGGTGGCATTGTATGAGCTTGTGCAACGTGAAACGGAGCGTCGCGCAAAGGAGCCTCACCTGGAACACTTGCCACAGATCAGGGCCAAGCTCTTGCAGGCACCAACACCATCCAACTGAATTCCAGCAAAAAACAACGAGTACAAAATTTGTTTAAGCCATGCAAGATGTCGAAGCAAGAGGGGCATGATTGAGGTGATCGGTGCATCACACCCAGCATACCCTAACTTTTCGCACAACACTGCACCAGTGCATGTGAACTGTCACCAACAGCTGGCTGGACATGCATTTAGGAGTCCGCGAAAACTGATCACGAGGAGACTTGGAACGTGCATCACCCTCAAGTTGTTATACCTTGTCTCTTTGACCATCCCTAATTTGGGTGTTTCATGTGAAGATGTGGGCATGGGTTCCCAGCATGAGCCCTGAAATCTGCTGCAGGTGTCAAAAGCAGATTGGCAAAAGATATCGTTAAATGATGATTCTTGGATGGAGCAAGAGAAGACACTTGATGTTGGGGCTTAGGGAAACATTGGTATGGCATGGCATGGGAGGAATTCAATACTATATAAAATTATAAAATGTACCATGCTGTGAAGAATCCATCCTGAGGATGCAAATTGGGATTGTGATATCAACGGAGCTGTGAAGTTGCTTCTCCAAGGCACACAGGCCGCAAAACCCTGCAGAAATCACATGTCCTTGACATAAGTTTTCTAGTGACTAATGCTGACTAGACTAGTGGAAAGATGTCTCCTCAACAAACAGAGCTCAGAAATTGTGAACGCAACCTGCCATGCAAAGTTACTGTGACCCTGAAAGGATGCGAAATGGAGATCTGGGTATATTCACGCAGCTCAACTGTTAGTGTTCAGCTGCTGCTTGACAGGAAGATGAGCTGGGCTCTGAGGCTTTGAAAGGGCCTGTGAATGTCAGTGGTAAGGGTTGAATCCTCAGGGTCAAAAAGAAACGATATCCTTTAAGGAGAACATTGTATGCTGATTGGCATTTGCAGCAAGATCATCATCCCAAGCAAGTAAAAATTGGTTATCCGGGAAACGACGAAGAGCCAAAGGCGAACAGAACAAGTGGCCCTGCTTTTGTAGGCTCCAAGAAAGTCACTTGGGTACACCCAATAGCCTAAGACCTTAATATCGTCTTGAAAATAGACACATTCTTAATCACTCTTAACTGATGGGCACGCAGGATGTGGCAGCCAGGATATGTTGAGGCACAAGCGTCGTGCACCATGCGTTGCGCTGAGGTTCATATAACACTTTATTGCATCCGCGATGCTTAGCTCGCATAATTTCCTGTTGGAGGAAATGCAGTAGTAGTGGTACTACAACTACTGATGGAGGTCGTGCTAGTGCTCCTTGAAATAATTGACCACAGCTCGCAGTGAAATGAAGTGATTAAGCAATTAAGCCAACTGGCTGGCAATTCACGTGTTTTTCAACGAATCATTAAAAAAGTCATTTGCAGCATGGTGCAACAATCTTTTGCGGGGCGAGACAATGATGAATGATGCCTTGAAATGAGCTGCAACACCAGTTCGTTACGGCAAAAGCAATACGTAGTTAAACATACAGGTGGACAGGAATAACAAGAATCCATTAACAAGTCAATCAGGAAGCAAAGCACTTCAGAGTCGTGGATCCACATTGAAGTTTGTCAAATCCCTCTATGCATCCCAGCTCGTTTAGAATCGTTACTCATATCAACAAAGAAAAAGCAGAAAGCTTTTCCAAAAAGCAGAACACTTTTTCATGGTTTTGGTCTGTTTTCGTGTTATCGAAAAGCCGTCAGCAAGGAATGGCACCTGTGTGGGCCCTCGTGGTGCAGCTGGGGCGTATGGGAGTGAATGCACATTTGCCTCCATCCCATTGTGACAAAAAGACTCAAGCCGTGTCGGCATTTGTTCTATAAATAAGTCAAAACTATTCAATGAGAATTACACCAGGAATTACACCAGGAATGATCATTTCGCACCCCCCTTGCGATGCGCATGATGCGCCACAACTCCCGGGCACAATTAGCACGTGGCAGTCGCTTGTCCCACCGGAGCCGCGCTCATTTGGAAACCCTTTTTCTGGCCTAAATGAGCTCAAGAGGTTGGGCCTCCCCTGGGGCAGGATCGGTTCTAAACACCTCGCTGTTAGTTTACAGATTCAAAGAAGATCGGTTCCAAACCTCTCCTGCTACCCCACTACCCTTCACAGAGAAAAACATGGTCAGTTCCCAACCTTTCCTGCTCTTTCCAGATTAGGACAGATCGGCTCCAAGCCCCTCCTGCTACTTACATACTGACTATTACAGGGTTCCTAAAATTTAGCACGCGTTTCAGCAGTCCAGCTGCTTCAGTGTATTTTTAGATATTTTTGGTTTGGTTTCTTGCAATTTGTCCTGGTCCAACTTCTGAGAAAGTGCTTTTTGTTCTTAGCAAGATTGCAGATTGCTGTTTATCGAGTTGCGGCTTGCTATGCCATAAACAGGTAGACTGTCAAGCGCTTTGCCATGCTCACACAAAACAGATGCGACTCTCGTGGATTATTACTCTTGGCAGTTTTGATTGCAACCAAGATGCTGCTGCGTGCCATTCCAATGCTTTCTTATACTTCTAATACTCGCCCTTCTATACACGGTAGTTGGTATCAACTGTGCGATGGATGCGCAGTGTTTGGCCCTGGGTGATGTAGCTCCTGCGATGGAGACTAGCTGATGCTTCCAGCAAGGCTTGTCTTTCCATTACTTGGCGCACTCGTGCCAGTGGTAGTTGGCAGTCCACCAGAAGATGCTAAGCGCAACAGGGCTGGAATGGAAGGCTTGGTGCCTTTATACTTGTGGGTGCAAAACAAGACCAAGCAACGCTTCTTGAACATGTGCCACTCGGCGCAATTATAGGTCAGTGCTGCTCTAACTGTTGCAGCGGTTAGCTTGAATTGTTTTTTTCTTGTTTGTTCTATCGATTCTACATCATGCTGGTGTTGTTTGGCAGTCTAGGCCGTGAGGAGAACGTCAGCATCTCCGAAATGCTGATGAGATGGGCTTCGTTTCAAGCTGTTGAGAGGCCTGCGCTTCCTGGGGATCAATGGAGAACTCGCAGTGAAAGTGGTCACTTGGATGTAGCCCTTGGAAGAGACCTTCAGGGCGGACAGAGCTAGCAGATGCTAGCAGGTGTATTGAGAGATTTCCCACAGGAGACAAGATCTACAAAAAGGGCCCCCAAACTGGACTGTACCTTGCAAAAATCGCAAGTTTGCGGCAAGTTCTTACTTTGCTCAAAGCCAAGGGGTATCGCCTGCAGAACAGATGAAACCAGAGATCCTTGATTGATCTTGATTGGCATTGCATTGCTCATTGCACGATTGTTCAAGAGCATCAGCATCGGCTTCTTACTTGCTTTCTTGTTTCTCTAGGTTGCTTCTTGAAGAGTTTACAACATTTGACAACAACGTTCCGGTCCCTTGTGCGGACGCGAAATGGGGTACAAGCCAATCTTAATTGGAAGCCATAATATATTCCAATTCCCAGCATTCTTTTTCACTCAGAGTCAGTGCATCAGCGACGAGTTATCATGGTTTCAGCATAGTTTTGAATCCGGGCTCATCCAAGAGTCGTACGGCCAACGGGTCCACATGTGTTTTTCGTGGCAGCATCCGACCAACTTTGTTGACCCGGCGCAAGCTACCTCAACAGTTCAAAGGTCGAAAACAGAAACGGATAACAACATGTATAACAAGAACGAAAATGAACACGCGACCGAAAACCTGCGAAACGTCATGCAGCGCACGACACATTGGCCCCACCCCCACCCCACCCCGCCAAACCGAACCCAGTAAAACGTGAAAATGCCTTTGCATCTTTGTTCCATGGGGATTAGGTCCGAAAGGTACAACAAAGATCAATACTGTTGGGCACAGTGGCTACTTTTCTCCACATTCTTTCACTGCCCTTTCTCGCGGATGCAGAAGTGCACAAGGTGAAGTTGCGAGCCTTGAGACTAATTCATTTGTACGAAAGAATCTCTTATATAGAATGTATGGGGCTACAGCAGTGCGTTCTCAGGTACAACATCCAATGGGAACTGGTCACCACTGTGCATTGTGAGCTACGCGGTTTGGCATTTTGCAGTGTGAAGTCTGCAAATGTTGCTAGAGTTGGTGCTTGCTTACTGCCTGCCGCCCTGCTGCTTGCTTTTCTTGTGCCTTTTCGTGTTTGCCTGAGCACTTGCTTGCTCATGCTTTCTCATTTTTTCATGCGCACGTGCTCACTCGCTTGGCTTTGCTTTATGGGTTCTTCCTGGAGATCCAAAGTGCCAGGCTGCCACTCTGACACATTTTGGCATCAAAGTATGATTTGGAGTGATTTGGGGAGAGGGAGGACATCGTCGCAACAACGAGATGTTGGTTGAAAAATGTTGAAAACATGCTCCCACAGTGCCAGAACGTGACGAAATCGTTACGTCACTTTATCGACATTTACGCCACTCTTCCCAAAAGTTGCATGTTTTTGGCCGCGTCCAGCATTGACGCAAACAGGACGCTACTAGGCATAAACATCAGGATGATTGGCGCAGAAACATCAGGAAACTGCTAGCGCAAGTGCGGTGTTGGATATTTGCCTCACTTCTTGGCAAAAGATCGATATGCCCTACCAGAAGAAGCGCACATAAACCAGAAGCTAACAGTTGCGACACTTCCTTGGAAAGCACCTGCAACTGTTTCTAGAAACAAAAGGCACTTTGGAGCTCCAGGTTTGTTTGATTTGATGTGATGGCTTTTGTGCTCTAAGGTCAACTGGTGGGGTTGGGCCCAATCTTCGGGAGGTGACCAAAGAGAGGAAGCCGCTGGGTCAAACTTTCATGCTGGATCTGCGAGCTGCTTGCCACAAGTTTAGCGGTGAGGCACCAATGAGGTTGGCTACTCTACTCCCATAAATTTTCCTGCTCAATCCTTTTCAATTGTGATTGTGATACATTGCAAGATCTACGGCCCAGCTTGAAGGTTTTCATGAGTATGCCTTGACAAGGAAGCTGACGTGAACTTGCTGAAGAAAGCAGGGCCTCTCGGCAATGGTAATTCTCTAAACAGCTCAACAGCTGTGGTCTCATAGACTTCAGCCAAAAGGTGAGACCCACCAGAGAGTAGAGAAAGCATTCTTCTCTTGGCTTCGGCCTTCGGCCCTTCAACAAACCCTGGCTGTTGCACATGTGAAGATTAGCTTCGTGCAGGAGAAAACAATCGCTCTTGGCAACCTGGACAACAGGGGAGTCCAAGTACATGAGTTTAGCGCTGAATTTGGCACTCTCAGTGCGGCGCAACACTCCGCATCTGGAGAGGAGCACCGGGAACATGGAAAAGGAACACATACAATAACATACATAAGAAATCATCATAATATATCATATCGATCAATATGTTGGGTCAAAGGGGGCTAGCCCGTGAAGGCAACCTTCCCGACGATCCAACATCTTCTTGTCGGGGGTCTGGGGACAGTTATACATTCTTTTTCAACTCTCGCTACTCGACACTTTTCCTTTGTAGATGGAGCAAGTTATTCATAAAGTTTCATATGTTGCGCCCATGGCAAATTTGGCTTACAGGACATGGCGGGGACCACTTTGAGGTTTGTTTGTGTTTGTCGTTAATCCCGAGTACCTTTTAAAAAACGGACCCCTATTTAAAAAGAAGTCATGTCGGAACCCCTAAATACGGTTTATATTCGTTGTTAAATTACGCCCTTTCAAGCCGCTACTAAACTACCAACATTGCCGATTTTGGAGGATTTTTTTAATTAGGTTCCAAAAGCAACCGTAACTGCCCACCGCTGTCCACCCTGTCAATCCACCATGACACGCCATGTTTACACCAGCAGGCTTTCCTTCCCCGCAAAACCGCATGGCACAGCGACATCACCTTTCGAAAGCTTTAGTTGTTAGTCTAATGAATCACTAGTCTAATAAAGGTTTTTGTAGGGGGAAAAAGAAGACCCTTCGATCTGGAGGTTTGTTGAATTTTTGATATGAGTTTAATAGAGGATTTTATATAACATGTTCCTTGGTGACTTTTTGGTTTGAAGCCCTTCCCAGGTGACCCTATTTTGCACCACCCCGATTTCAGGGACCCTCTATTAAAAAGAGAGGCAACCGAGGCTTCCTTATTAGGGGGGGGCGTGCTTTTTAATAGGTGGACCGGATCAGTTCTTTTGTTGCCTTTGTCTGGTTTGAAGTGCCCTTCACCGAGTCAGCATTTGAGGAACTTGTGAGGCCTGATGGTGTGAGAGGCTGATAGGCTACATCGCAGAGCTGGGCTTACTTGAGTTTCTTAAAACTCTACTCAACTCACCCTCTTGGAGTTCATGAATTCCTAGACAACAATCCCACTAGCCCGAAACACAAAAACAAGCACCAGGTGTGGGCATGTTGATTCACGGGCTAAGCCCCCCTGCCTTTACCCAATATGTTGCTCACTGCTGGTCCGCTGGCTTGTGTTTGCAACGACGACATCAAAAGCAACGAGTCCACTTCCAATCGCTTCAGGCGGGTAGCATGGCATAACTAGAGCAATAATTGCTGAACAATGCTTGCTGAACATGATACAACAGTACTTCTGAATACTTCTGATATCTCAAGGCAGAGAAACACTTGTTTGACGCTACACTGTCCTACATGTGCACCCATGTGCCTCTTTTTCAGGAGCTTTGTGTGCATCGCACTGGATCGTGAAGCCCGCCGTGCCATGCGGAAACATAGGTTCCAGACCATCCTTCACGCAGTACCACGCCTTGACCTGCTTCTTTGACGCATAAATCAAGAACACACGTTTAGCCCAGCTGGAAAGTCAGTGCGTTGATACTTGCATAACATCTACTTGACTGACAGGTTCTTCATTGAGTTGCCATTCTTTTTCCCCACCTGTCAGGTGAGGGTTGTTAGTTCTTATCTCAGCTGCCGTCCTCCTCCTCCTCCTCCTCCGCCTCGTCCTCTTCCGCCGGACCTCAACCGCAAGTGCAGGATGGCAGTGTTCCCCGCCGGACCTCAACCGTGAGCTTCGGCTGGCAGTGTTCCCCGCCGAACTTCAACCGCGAGCTTCGGCTGGTAGTAGTGTTCCCCGCCGGACCTCAACCGCGGGTCAGAAGATATGCCAGATAGAACGCCAGAAAGAATGTCAGAAGATATGCCAGAAAGAAGTCCGAAATAATGCTTCAATACAAGCCGGAAAACTTGTCAGATTGAAGTGTCATGGTGGGGTTTCTCGAAATAAGGTAATTTGGTTCTTGCGCTGCACCAAGTTGTTTAGTAAATGCGCCACTGTGTTAGAGCTTGACGGCCGAGGAAAGATGCAATTTGGAAAATGCGGTGGTTTATTTTGCATACCTTTGCTTACTTCGGGGTCAATGGCTCCTTGCCTAGCAATGCAAGCGCATTCAAAATCCACAATACTTTATATATATATATATATACATCTATGCTTGATGATGATTCGCATCAGCTTGGACACCAAACGAACCTGTCATTTGCATAAAGCTCTCCTTACTTCTTACTCGTAAATTTGACTTGAGCCAACAATAGCCAACATATCTCTTTTCTCCCCGAATGCTGGACCTGTTTTCGTATGTACTTCTACTGGTGTCCATGAAGGCTTTGTTCTGGACTCAGACATTGTGGTGCTGCGAAGTCCATTTGAAGTCTTGAAAGGGGATGCTGATTTTGAGGCGAAACATTTTGGAGTTTGTTCGTTCGTGTTGTTTGTGTGTATTGCAGTCTTTTTGCAGCAGTTCTTTGCAGCCGTCGTTTTGCTGAGTTTGTAGAAATCCTTGCCAGGATGCATTGTACCTTCAAAGCGTTAAGTTTTTCCCCCTTTCACCCATCTTGCACTAACTCCTCCACGTAGGGAGTCTTTTTGCCATGCCGCAGACAGATTATCAGGATGAGAGGTTGGTTCCAGAGGAACACAGGTCCGTTATTGCAGTGCGTGGAGTGACACGTCCTGGATTTGTTTAAGCGCTGCGCCAGGTCACCCAGCATTCTGCAGCACAACCACGGTCAAAATTGTGCAGTTTGCAGTCTCATCAAACTGATTCAGACAATGAAGGTTGAAAACTCTCTATGCTGGCGTTAAAAATTGCAGTTTGAAAGGCTAGGGGCTCACAGCCCTGCTGAAGATCTTGCAAATACGGGCCTTTGTAGATACTTGAGAATACACTGGCCATCGCATTTAAGCCTCAGCTAATGAACCTAACAATCCACATCTTTGGTTTGTCTTCAGGCCGCACTTCAGGCCAACACCTCTCTACTTGCACATCTCCATGTGGACCGTGACCGTGGCCAAACTTTTGTTCTGGCATCATCATGTGGATGAAACCGCGATAAATCTCGTGCTAAAAGTCATCAACACTCACGGCGTAATGTCACCATGAGACGCTATGAACAGTTGCTGCAGGTTGCTGCAGGGAAGGGGAAAAGATAAACTAAATACGTGGGACAAGACAAGAAGGGAAACTATTCTGGAACGGCACTCGTGGGAATGTGCCGGACAAGTTGCCAAAACGCGAGTCACGTTTGCCACACTTATATACCACACAAAGCCCCGAGGTTTGACAATGCAATATTGTGGTCTTAAAATAAGGACCAGTGACCAGTGACACCCGCAATGCAATGATATAACACGATATATTTTGATTTGCGTATACTGTATATATACTGTATATATTATATACCATACAGCCAAGTTTGGAGTTGGAGAGTGAACCTACGGTCTCCGGCAAATGATGTTGAAGAGTCTTTTTGAAACTCAAGTACAGTATACAGTGTACAGCATAGACGTGTTGCAGGTCCGCATGTACGTTTTGCCATTGTTGACCTGACCCGTTGCAGGTGATGACAGATCATTTCTGGCCAGAACTTCATTTGTGGGAGCCGCTCGCATTCATTTCAATCGCACCAGATTCAAGCGTGTTTCGAGTCCACTCACGTACATGCACGGTCAACCAACATGCCCGATTATGGATAAAGATGTCCTGCGCTTTGCTAGGACTTTGCCCATCATCGGCTTTATTATTGCCCAAAAGGTGTCAAACGGATTTGTTTCTTAATTTTCAATCAACATATTGTACCACCAGAGTTCGGGAATATCCAATTGAGGTATACCAGCTACATATACTGTATATATATATATATACAACTTTCCATCCAATTCGCGCAAGTTTGTTCAGCTGCTTTTTGCTTGAGGAAGGAACACGACCTGTCAAGACCTACTGACCCGTTAAATCATACAGGTGTTTATCGCAGTGATTCAATGATTCCACCGTGATCAAGGTATTGGACCAGACCCGAGGAGCACATCAATACTGGATGCATCTATGTGGTGACCTCAGGTCTTGAGGGCTGATCTTGAGGGATGAATGACTCAGAGTGCTCAGTAGCTGCAGTTACTTTAAGTTCAAAGCACACATTGCCTTCTGTGGCCGTCGCAAGCTCAATCAAGCTCCATCAACTCAACGTGACTCAACAACTTCAGGTAAAGGCTTCGAACCGCACCAAGGCATTCCTGTGCTTTGGCTGCAATGGTTGGGGGCATGTTTCAATGGATGTTTCCTGGGTACCATGGGTTGTGCGTTAGTGTTCAAAAAGCAGATCAGGTGTTCCTATTAGAGTCAGATGAACCAAACACAGACATTGACATAAACAGACCTTATCACACCAAGGTATGAGTTCTTGGAGGACCACAACGAGACTCAGGTCGGTGGTATCCCTCGCCATTGGATGGACCAGCAAGTGTTCAACAAGTTTGTGCAGCGCAAGCTCTTCCATTCGTCCAGTGATTTAGTGCATGGTTTGTACGAGAGCCAGATCTACCGGAACACAAGGCCGCTCCTGCCAGTTGTGGACCCAATACGTATCAGAATCCTGGATCCGGTCGTGGTGGCCCATGGCATGAACTACTTTTGGATTCGAGCTCATGAACGGCCTGGGCAGGCCTGAGAACGGAACAAACACACCCCCACACACACACACACACTTATAGAAATGCGTGCTGATGTGAAAGCGGTTGCCACACGCCAACCTGGGTACCCAATTCCTGAAAAGGTCAAGCAAACCTCCGGAGCCTGGAGGTCTTCAAGAGGAAGCAGGGCCAAAAGCTCAATGCGTGACTGCAGAAAAGACTTAAAAATTGAAAGGCAGGTACGTCAGTGCTGGCCGGGCACTGATATCACATCCACTTGGTGCGGTCTTTGTTAGATGAGGCACACCAAGGGATCCTCATCCCCCTGCTCTACGTGAAACAAACTCGTTTGTGCAGTGAAAACTGTAAGGAGTGAAACTGCGAGTAGGGTGGTTTTGACTTGCTGTGTGATGATGTGATCTCTCAAGTCAACCCCCAGCACCAGATAGGTCGGTTCGCTCATGTTTCTCGAGCTGTTTTTGCTGGTGGCATTCACGTGTGGTGTGTTGGTGGGGGCCCTGACAACCCGGTGGTTGTTGCTTGGCCCGGCTTCGTGGAAGCCTTTGCGTGCATGCATTGGGCCGTCCGCCTTTGCTGCCTTACAGTGGGAGCCTTGTTCCTAAGCTTCGATGGCCGGTTATGGTCTACCCGATGCTGCTACCCTAGCTGGATTGGACACGTTGGCACGAATCCGTGCCCATTGTTCCTGCAGCGAGCAGGTATGGAATGCTGTGGATCAGGTTCTTGGAGGAGTAGTAGGCACACCCGCTTTGTTTGCAATGTTGCCAGCCAGCACTCTGCGAGAAACCTTGCGTGCTGTTCGAGCTGGTGCCGATCCCAATCGCAGGGAGTTGCAAGCCATGGAGATGATTCATGTGGCTCACATGTGGAGAGTGTCTCGGCAATCCCTGCAGATGACAGATCCAGCCTCGACGGTGACAGCCCCAGCAGCTCCAGTTCACCCTGGGGCCTCTCCCTCAAAGAAAGTGAAGATGTCCAGCGTGACAGATCAGATGGACGACTTGGAGATCGATCTTATGACTCGTACAGAGCTGGATCAAGCACACCTATGGCATATAGATATGACTGGTGCGGAGCCGAGCGACGATGCAGAGCCCACTTCAGAGCAGGTGGCCGCACTTCGAGATCGGATAGTCAGAAGGGGAGAAAGCCCGTACGCAGACTTCAGCATCCTCACTCCTTTTGGACGGACGATGCAAAAGCAGCTCAAGACGAGGTCATGGCTGCTGCAGCAGGACGGCGCGTTCAAGGCCTTAGACATCCCTGGACCACCGTCATTCGAGGCATGGAAGGCATGCTGGAAGGTGTTCTCTTCATGCTGAGGTATCCTCCGATGGCACCAGGTGGAGAGCATCTGAAGGTGGTGACTTCCGCCTGCCTGGAGGAATACTACGACCGCATCTCGAAGCTCAATCAAGATTTCCCAGAGACTTGGCACCTCATCGTGAAGGCCGAGGACAAATGTCGATCAGAGATGTTCGAAAGATTTCGTCGACACCTCACCAAGGCGGCTGCAGACAATCGACTTCCGATGGGGCTGGATTTCCTTCCAAACCAGCCATGGATTGGAGTCTTCACCTACGCAGCACGAAACCGGGAGTTCTGGGACGAACACGTGATCGGGCCGGCCACCATGTTCATCGCCCGTGGAGGACGAAACATGACGATGGACAAGGCCGTAAGGTGAACATCCCTTCACCAACAAAAGATGCACTGGGGATCGACGAGGACAGAGGGGCTCACAAGAAGAAGCAGAAGAAGGCCAAGAAGGACACTTCAGAGCCTCCGCAACCTCGTGGAGGAGACAATGGGGGGCACCCACAGAAGTGGGGCAAGCACTACATCACCACGGCGGAAGGCCACGAGTTGTGCTTCAGGTTCGCCAAGGGAAAACCTGGAGACTGTCCAGAGCCGTGCAAAGATGGACGAGTGCACTCTTGCCAGCACTGCCTTGGGAAGCATCCCAACTCTCAGTGCACGGAGAGGCAATCCAAGCCAAAAGGAAAGGGCAAGGGAAAAGCCAAGAACAAGAACTGACAAGCAGAGAAGAAGCTGATCAACGTGGAGACGCTCCCTGTGCTCGACGAGCAGTGGGGGAATCCATCCACGGAAGCTGCGCAATGCAAGGTGGAGGACACGTCAGCTGTGAGCAATTCAGACAAGAAGATTCGAGACGCCCAATTCGAGAAGCCGGAAAGCACTCGCCAGTACAAGTTCCTGGAACTCTTCGCAGGAAAGGCTGGACTCTCACGAGAAGTGAAGAGAGTGTGTGGAGACTTGGTGGAAGTCCTGGTGCCTCTAGACGTGCAGGGCAACTGGGACATCTTGCAGGAAGAGGGGTTCGAACGAGCCAAACAAGTTGTCCTGAAAGCAGACCATACACACTTTGCCTTCCCGTGCAGGAGCTTTTCGAGGGCAAGGAGAGTGGACAACTATGGATCAGTGCCGGTGATTCGGTCAGACGAGAGACCAGAAGGGGGCCACCCCACGGCAGAGGAGGGCAACAAGATCCTGGAGAAGGTAATAGCCTTGATCTACCTGGCAGAAGAGGTTGGGAAGACATGGTCAATGGAGAACCCGGGAATGTCCTATGCCTGGGAACAGCCCAAGATGAAGAAGATCCTGAAGATGAAGGGTGTCCACAATGTCGAATTGGACCAGTGCCCGTATGGAGCACACACCAAGAAAAGCATTCGGATAGTGACTACGTCCGACTGGATGAGCCGAGTCAATTTGAAGTGCGAGGACGTCAGGCCGCATTTCCATCTTCCTGGAGGTCTGACCGGAAAGACATGGAACCCAATCACGGAGGAATGGGTATGGAAGACTTCAAGAGCTGCAGAATACCCGTTTGGCCTATGTCAGGCTTGGGCAGAAGCGTTGCTCGAATGGTTGGCCGATCGAACAATGGTACATACCAGAGCCCATCAGCTGGTAGCCATGAAGGAGAAGCTCAGCATCTTGAAGAGGAGGCGGGACGACTTGGCCGCCGAGAAGCAGAAGATAAAAGAAGCCCGGGCCGAAGATCCATCGTCCAAGGCACAGATGTTCGATGGAGAGAAGTCGAAGGCCGAGATCAGGGAAGAGGAGAACTTCGCAGCAGCAGTGGGGGGTCTTCGAGATCCCAGAAAAGCAGAGGCCAGCAGCAAAGCCCTGAGGACAACAGGGCATAGAATCAGGAAGGCGCTTGAGCTGTGCATAGAAGAGCACGATTTGAAGCACTTCGAGCACAGCATGTCAGTGAAGCCGGAGACAGTACAGAAGGCCGTACAGGTCTTGCATGAAGAATTTGAGGTAAATGAAGCCACCAACACCGAAGGCTACCAGACCGCCCTTCTTGGTGCCATGTTGGAAGCTGCGTGTGACGCCGATGCTCAAGTCGTGCCGAGATGGCTAGTGGAGGGCGTTCCTCTTGGCCTTAGTGTGCCAATCGAGCACACCAATGTGTTCCCTAGAGCTTGCAGCCAGGTGCAAGGATAGGTCAGCCATTTTGAAAATGTTTAATCAGTGGAGTCACCCGGAAGTGGTGATCAACCTGGTGACAGGGAAGACCCATTCCACGGCAGGAAATGCATTTCGCAACCACCCGAACGAATGGGTGACAGCATGCGGTTGGCCATGGATTGCAGCAGGGCGCATAGCAAAGGCGGCGTTAGAGCCAGCCGATGTGCCGAACAAGGACCGATTTCGCCGTGTGAATGGTGCAAAGACAAGCTGCCCGATTGGGCTAAGCCCGAAGCAATCCCATAGAATAGGCAGACCACGGCATGGGTAAGAAAAGGGTGTTCGAGTTAGTCTCGCATGTTTGCTCCTTCCCTCGATTGAATCGTAGGTCGATGTTCGATCGAGTACGAACTTGAGGTCACAAGGACAACA